TTTTTCTCTCACGCTGTCTGATGTTTCCAACTAAATAATTTTCAAGTTTTGTTTTTTGATGTTGTCCTGCCTGACAACATATCTTAAACAGTATCAGATCGTTGATGGTGATCGATCTGGGGGTTCCAGCACCGATGTCAAATTAACAATTACACGTGACGTGTCTTGTTTTAATACGCCATACTCTTAATCTTTAACCCCCAAGGGTGACTGGGGAATAGAAATATGGTCACCATTGGTCTTCCTCCGACCGGCGGTAAAACCCTCGCTAAAGTGCGGCGTCCGTTTGGCTGTGCGGGATGTACAAATTTGCAGCCACGTCCGGTCAGAATGGGGACGTTTAATCCGATGCCTCGTGTAAAGAGAGTGCCACGTTCTTTGCACGTTAAGAACCCTTGTAACAACTCTTTGAGGGGTCCGTAGGTGACCTGTTGCAAGGCTAAATTTCTGTCCCTATCCAATAAACCCTCATTTCCCGTGGCAGTCTAAATTTCTCCGCCCTTCATCCCGGACGCCCCTTTTACAGAACCTACCTATTGTATTTATTGTTAACTTGTTCTCGTCCTGAATATGCATGAAATATTTGCCACTGAACGTTAAGCAACCAACAATCAATCAATCAATCAATCAATCTTAATCATTAAGCGAACTACTAAAGTTGACCTTGTGAATTATTATGTGCGTGTGAGGTTAGAGAACTACTGAAGTTGGCTTCTTGTAACTTTTGGTTATGGTACAAGTCTTTTTATTGAAGATGTAGATCAGCAATAAATAGTTTATTCTACTGTAATGAGTATTTCCATTTGGTATTTAATGTCTCACTGCAGTGTCCATATCCAGTCTTTTGGCTAGTATGATATATTGTTCTTATACAAAGCTTTAGATCTACAATTTCATAACCTTTACCCCTGATAAATATGTTCTTTTCTACAAATTATTAAAGCAAATCATCGTTTTTAAACAGGTAGGAAAGAATAATTTTATTTAAAAATAAAATCATTATACAAAAAGCTGTGACTGTGCTTATGATTAGTGTATGAATGGTTAACTGCTCTTGGAACACAACTGCTTAGGCTCTTTGTCAAAGAATCCAGATCTCTGATAGATAATAGCAGATCTAACTCTTCCAGTCTTTAACAAATTCTATAAAATCGGGTTTTCACAATTTTTTTGTCATACAGATCCAAGTAAAAAATACTGAGCATGCTTCCTTTACCCTAAGAACTGTTTGTACAAATTAAACACGGAATTCGGTTTCCCCGCCCATGTTTACAGATTGTTGAGAAACTATGTTGCTTGCCATTTAAACGAAAAAATGGAGGAAATTATAAGGTTTTATCGATATTTATAGAATAAAGTCTCGTGAATTACAGTCTTGTCACCTCCTTTTTCCTAAGCTTTTAACGTTTAAACAAAACACCCCTCCAATAACAAAAACAAGGGATTAAAAATAAAACTTCTTTGGAGTCTCCAAAGGACTGAAACCTACAACCTTTTCATGGATTCTAGCTAAAATTAATCCGAAAAATTCATAATTATTTTATTAAAACTTGCTTGGAAAGAAATGAAAAATACAAGTTCTTTCGATCAATTGAAGAAAAGATAATCCTCACTTAAATCTTCAAGATCGCATTATCTGCACAAAACTCTTAATAACACTATTTTTGAGCTCTGTTTAAATTCAGATAAAATATTGTTTAACATTCCAAGTTGGTGAATTATAAACTTATAAAAGTGAATTTTTAAAATCCGCATAGAGTAAGAGAATGCATCTGCTTCTGTTTTCAGCTCTTTTAATTGCTGATGGCTTGAATCCACGCGTTGTTTCAGAAAAGTTCCACAGACAGCGTGTAGAGGAATAGCATCTCCAGTCCTTAAACTCCCTGCAGCTCCAATAATGTCGCCTCTTATTTCGAAAATAAAAGTTTTATAGTTGCGTGTATTTTTATTATAAGTTTGTGTAATGGTTTAGGCTTCGTCTGAAAGTGAATCTGAGCAGTTACATCACGAAGTTCTCGGACATTTTAATATATCTATATGGATTCTAAATATATCTGTCTTTTTTATATGATCTATAACAACATGACTATGTCCAATACCTGTAATAAGGTCTGATATTACATCCATATTTTAAAGAGTTACTTAAAAAGTCACGAAATTCAATTATAAATTCAAAGGAAATTTTGGTTATTTTAGTTTTGACTGATTTATTAGATATCTTAAAATCTCAATCGAAGTAATTTCATTTCAAAAACACTTGAGGGATAATTAAAAAACCGGTTTAAATACAGTTTAAAAAAATCGCTATAGCTAAATTACATGAAGAGGTAGCCTTTAGATGATTGACATGTCTTTAATCAGTTTTCTGCTACGGGAATTGGAGAATATCGTTGCAGGATCCTTGATTACCAATCGGAACACATAAGACACCACATGGGGTTATTTTTTAAATGATTCCGTTGATGGATATGTTAAACGTCGTCTGTATATCCATGGTTGTGCTTGAGATGTCCATTGATCACACTTAAAATAATCATTATATCGAAATCACTGCCTCTTAAATCAAGTCCTTCTCCTTGACTTCCACTAGTTATATAGCTTTCTTATCAGATGTCACTTATTGTGCAGGCTAATCGTCTGACTTTTACATCCTCCACAGAACAAATCTTGACATATATGATGTAGTAACTGTCTAAAAATATGGCCTTAAATATGTGGATACTTTTAATCTGAAATAGAAAAGTTTACGGACAGTTATTTTTTGCAATTCTGAACAAAATGAGACCGTATTTTTCAGGAAGACACCAACCCTAACAATACACATAAAATCGAAAACTTCAAGAGGTCTATTATTGGTACTCACATGCGTTTTCTGATTGGTAGATCCTTACAATAGTCGACCCCACATCAAATTTGATGTAAGCGGTTATGCGTACCGTAGGCGGCCAACGTCACGTGATACCCGACAAGTTTTTTTCCGCGAAAATATAAACAAAGTTACAAACAATGGTAAAACGTTGTGTTTGGGGAACATGCAACAACGATGATCGGTACAAGCATAAACCTCATATGTCAGGAGTGGAATTCTTCCCTATACCAAAGCCAAAAACAAGATTGCAGAAACTCTACAAAGGGTAAAAGCTTGTGGCAGGAAAGATTATACCGTTGCTAATGTAAAAAAAACATGCATATGTGTGCAGCAACCACGTTGTTGATGGGAGACATACAACCATACATCCATTCCTAATCATAGCTACCCCATCAAAGCAAATAGTGCACAAATCAAGAAAACTTCCCTTTGACAGGGCTAATTTATACTAGTATACCAAAACCAGCAATATCACGCCCACTAAAACTTAAATTGGCGATCAAGTATGGATGGATGTTCAGGCGTATGTTAGTGTCAATGAAACCAACACATCATCAGACCAACCTCTTCAGGCAACAGCACATTCCTGTAAAGAATTTAAAGGTAATGACTGGTATATATATATATATATATTAAGAGATCCAAATTATACCAAGGACTCCCTGCCCTCAGTCTTAGTGACTTTTAAAAAGGACCTTAATTTGTAAGTGTCCTGTTTTGTTTCAGGATTGAAAATATGTTTTAATTTATCTATATCATTTTAAGTTATTATATTTATTTTCATTTAAAAATTATTTTCTTAATTGTTCATTTATTTTACATTTAAAAAAGAAATGAAACTCATCATCTAGAACATCACAATGTTAACAATAACTTGTGTGTAACTGTATGGATCTCTCTGACATTGTACCACACGGTTTCATTTAACAATGGGAAGGCTTGGATTGAGTTTGGGATTAATTTCCCTGAACATGTAGGAATGAGGGACCAAAAAGAAGCATTTTTCTTGTTTACAGACAATAAGTGTATAAATGACTCTCTGAAATTATACCACAAGTTTGCATACTACACAAGGATGGGTTATGGGGGTTATGGCTCACAACATTTAGCCAATAGGGGCAAAAAAAGGGGGAAAACAAGGGTTTTTCTGGTTAAAGGACAATTTAGACAATGTAAAAGCAGTGTAAGGGAGGTTCTCCAATTCCATTTAAAGAAAACTTTTATAGATATGTTTGATTACCTTACTTATATAAAAGAAGATGTGGTATGATTGCAAATGAGACAACTCTCCACAAGAGACCAAAATGACACAGAAATTAACATCTTTAGGTAACTAACGGCCTTCAAAAATGAGCAAAGCCCATACCACATAGTCAGCTATAAAAGGCCCCGAAATGACAATGTTAAACAATTCAAACGAGAAAACTAATGGCCTTATTTATTTAAATAAATGAACGAAAAACTAATATGTAACCCATAAACAAGCGACAACCACTGAATTACAGGCTCCTGACTTGGGACAGGCACATACATACATAATGTGGCGGGGTTAAACATGTTAGCGGGATCCCAACCCTCCCCTAACCTGGAACAGTGGTATAACAATACAACATAAGAACGATTCCTATAAAAAATCAGTTGAAAAAGGCTTAACTCATCAGATGAACAAAAATACAAGTGGACGAGGCCGGGTACTTGTACATCCCAACAAAAAAAAGACACTGAACCGATCTGAGAGTACTCGCAGTTAACTGACAGCTAGTTCAAAGCCACTAACTAATAAAAAAATCATGCAGCTCAGACTAAATTATCAATCCGTACACATCCAACATCCACTGGATTTAGTGTAAAGACGTCATAAACAGTCGGAGAAATACATGACCTTGTGCAATGCCAAGATACAGGTATCGACAGATTGTAGATCCATGAATGTGTATATGTATATAACATACTAGTAATATTTAGTTTGCTTTTAATTTACTGATAACAAAATGCTTGAAAATTATGTATTAAGAAATGATGATTGTCTTGAGATGATAAGCTGTAATTTTTTTTAGCTCACCATCCCAAAGGGCCAATTGAGCATTTCTCATCACTTGGCGTCATGAAGGGACTGTAGCAGATCGCTTTATACAAAATGTCTCATCCATATTTTTACCCATTTATTCTTAAATGACTGTTTAGCTAAACCTATCTTTTGTATTTCCAGCTCATGTCAAGGGAAGAAGAAATCCAAAGACTGAGTCTGAACACAAGAGGAAATTCATAGGGAACTTGAACATAAAGAGGCCCAATTACAGAGGCTGGAGTCCGACTTCTCTATTGCTAAAGAAGAAAGTCTGAAGATATAGTAAGAATTAAAAAAATATTAAAATTAACTTTAAACTTAAAACTTTATTGAAAATCACTTTACGCCCATATGGGCCAATGGATTAAAACATTATACATGATATACAGTTTACATATAAACAATGACAATAAACAATGCAGACACTTTGAACTATAATTCTTGTCTTTCTTTAAGTCAATATATATATAAGAGATCCAAATTATATCAAGGACTCCCTGCCCTCAGTCTTAGTAACTTTTACAAAGGAGCCTAATTTGTAAGTGTCCTGTTTTGTTTCAGGATTGAAAATATGTTTTAATTGATCTATATCATTTTAAGTTATTATATTTATTTTCATTTAAAAATTCTTTTCTTAATTGTTCATTTATTTTACATTTAAAAAAGAAATGAAACTCATTATCTAGTACATCACAATGTTAACAATAACTTGTGTGTAACTGTATGGATCTCTCTGACATTGTACCACAAGGTTTCATATAACAATGGGAAGGCTTGGATTGAGTTTGGGATTAATTTCCCTGAACATGTAGGAATAAGGGACCAAAAAGAAGCATTTTTCTTGTTTACAGACAATAAGTGTATAAATGACTCTCTGAAATTATACCACAAGTTTGCATACTACACAAGGATGGGTTATGGGGGTTATGGCTCACAACATTTAGCCAATAGGGGCAAAAAAAGGGGAAAAACAAGGGTTTTTCTGGTTAAAGGACAATTTAGACAATTTAAAAGCAGTGTAAGGGAGGTTCTCCAATTCCATTTAAAGAAAACTTTTATAGATATGTTTGATTACCTTACTTATATAAAAGAAGATGTGGTATGATTGCAAATGAGACAACTCTCCACAAGAGACCAAAATGACACAGAAATTAACATCTATAGGTAACTAACGGCCTTCAAAAATGAGCAAAGCCCATACCACATAGTCAGCTATAAAAGGCCCCGAAATGACAATGTTAAACAATTCAAACGAGAAAACTAATGGCCTTATTTATTTAAATAAATGAACGAAAAACTAATATGTAACCCATAAACAAGCGACAACCACTGAATTACAGGCTCCTGACTTTGGACAGGCACATACATACATAATGTGGCGGGGTTAAACATGTTAGCGGGATCCCAACCCTCCCCTAACCTGGGACAGTGGTATAACAATACAACATAAGAACGATTCCTATAAAAATCAGTTGAAAAAGGCTTAACTCATCAGATGAACAAAAATACAAGTGGACGAGGCCGGGTACTTGTACATCCAAACAACAAAAAGACACTGAACAGATCTGAGAGTACTCGCAGTTAACTGACAGCTAGTTCAAAGCCACTAACAACTAATAAAAAAATCATGCAGCTAAGACTAAATTATCAATCCGTACACATCCAACATCCACTGGATTTAGTGTAAAGACGTCAGAAACAGTCGGAGAAAAACATGACCTTGTGCAATGCCAAGATACAGGTATCGACAGATTGTAGATCCATGAATGTGTATATGTATATAACATACTAGTAATATTTAGTTTGCTTTTAATTTACTGATAACAAAATGCTTGAAAATTATGTATTAAGAAATGATGATTGTCTTGAGATGATAAGCTGTAATTTTTTTTAGCTCACCATCCCGAAGGGCCAATTGAGCATTTCTTATCACTTGGCGTCATGAAGGGACTGTAGCAGATCGCTTTATACAAAATATCTCATCCATATTTTTACCCATTTATTCTTAGATGACTGTTTAGCTAAACCTATCTTTTGTATTTCCAGCTGATGTCAAGGGAAGAAGAGATCCAAAGACTGAGTCTGAACACAGAGGAGATTCATAGGGAACTTGAACATAAAGAGGCCCAATAACAGAGGCTGGAGTCTGACATCTCTATTGCTAAAGAAGAAAGAAGAAAGTCTGAAGATATAGTAAGATATAAAAAATATTAAAATTAACTTTAAACTTAAAACTTTATTGAAAATCACTTTACGCCCATATGGGCCAATGGATTAAAACATTATACATGTTATACGGTTTACATATAAACAATGGCAACAAACAATGCAGACACTTTGAACTATAATTCTTGTTTTTCTTGAAGTCAATATATATATAAGAGATCCAAATTATATCAAGGACTCCCTGCCCTCAGTCTTAGTGACTTTTAAAAAGGAGCCTAATTTGTAAGTGTCCTGTTTTGTTTCAGGATTGAAAATATGTTTTAATTTATCTTATCATTTTGAGTTATTATATTTATTTTCATTTAAAAATTGTTTTCTTAATTGTTCATTTATTTTACATTTAAAAAAGAAATGAAACTCATCATCTAGTACATCACAATGTTAACAATAACTTGTGTGTAACTGTATGGATCTCTCTGACATTGTACCACAAGGTTTCATATAACAATGGGAAGGCTTGGATTGAGTTTGGGATTAATTTCCCTGAACATGTAGGAATGAGGGACCAAAAAGAAGCATTTTTCTTGTTTACAGACAATAAGTGTATAAATGACTCTCTGAAATTATACCACAAGTTTGCATACTACACAAGGATGGGTTATGGGGGTTATGGCTCACAACATTTAGCCAATAGGGGCAAAAAAAGGGGAAAAACAAGGGTTTTTCTGGTTAAAGGACAATTTAGACAATGTAAAAGCAGTGTAAGGGAGGTTCTCCAATTCCATTTAAAGAAAACTTTTATAGATATGTTTGATTACCTTACTTATATAAAAGAAGATGTGGTATGATTGCAAATGAGACAACTCTCCACAAGAGACCAAAATGACACAGAAATTAACATCTTTAGGTAACTAACGGCCTTCAAAAATGAGCAAAGCCCATACCACATAGTCAGCTATAAAAGGCCCCGAAATGACAATGTTAAACAATTCAAACGAGAAAACTAATGGCCTTATTTATTTAAATAAATGAACGAAAAACTAATATGTAACCCATAAACAAGCGACAACCACTGAATTACAGGCTCCTGACTTGGGACAGGCACATACATACATAATGTGGCGGGGTTAAACATGTTAGCGGGATCCCAACCCTCCCCTAACCTGGAACAGTGGTATAACAATACAACATAAGAACGATTCCTATAAAAAATCAGTTGAAAAAGGCTTAACTCATCAGATGAACAAAAATACAAGTGGACGAGGCCGGGTACTTGTACATCCCAACAAAAAAAAGACACTGAACCGATCTGAGAGTACTCGCAGTTAACTGACAGCTAGTTCAAAGCCACTAACTAATAAAAAAATCATGCAGCTCAGACTAAATTATCAATCCGTACACATCCAACATCCACTGGATTTAGTGTAAAGACGTCATAAACAGTCGGAGAAATACATGACCTTGTGCAATGCCAAGATACAGGTATCGACAGATTGTAGATCCATGAATGTGTATATGTATATAACATACTAGTAATATTTAGTTTGCTTTTAATTTACTGATAACAAAATGCTTGAAAATTATGTATTAAGAAATGATGATTGTCTTGAGATGATAAGCTGTAATTTTTTTTAGCTCACCATCCCAAAGGGCCAATTGAGCATTTCTCATCACTTGGCGTCATGAAGGGACTGTAGCAGATCGCTTTATACAAAATGTCTCATCCATATTTTTACCCATTTATTCTTAAATGACTGTTTAGCTAAACCTATCTTTTGTATTTCCAGCTCATGTCAAGGGAAGAAGAAATCCAAAGACTGAGTCTGAACACAAGAGGAAATTCATAGGGAACTTGAACATAAAGAGGCCCAATTACAGAGGCTGGAGTCCGACTTCTCTATTGCTAAAGAAGAAAGTCTGAAGATATAGTAAGAATTAAAAAAATATTAAAATTAACTTTAAACTTAAAACTTTATTGAAAATCACTTTACGCCCATATGGGCCAATGGATTAAAACATTATACATGATATACAGTTTACATATAAACAATGACAATAAACAATGCAGACACTTTGAACTATAATTCTTGTCTTTCTTTAAGTCAATATATATATAAGAGATCCAAATTATATCAAGGACTCCCTGCCCTCAGTCTTAGTAACTTTTACAAAGGAGCCTAATTTGTAAGTGTCCTGTTTTGTTTCAGGATTGAAAATATGTTTTAATTGATCTATATCATTTTAAGTTATTATATTTATTTTCATTTAAAAATTCTTTTCTTAATTGTTCATTTATTTTACATTTAAAAAAGAAATGAAACTCATTATCTAGTACATCACAATGTTAACAATAACTTGTGTGTAACTGTATGGATCTCTCTGACATTGTACCACAAGGTTTCATATAACAATGGGAAGGCTTGGATTGAGTTTGGGATTAATTTCCCTGAACATGTAGGAATAAGGGACCAAAAAGAAGCATTTTTCTTGTTTACAGACAATAAGTGTATAAATGACTCTCTGAAATTATACCACAAGTTTGCATACTACACAAGGATGGGTTATGGGGGTTATGGCTCACAACATTTAGCCAATAGGGGCAAAAAAAGGGGGAAAACAAGGGTTTTTCTGGTTAAAGGACAATTTAGACAATTTAAAAGCAGTGTAAGGGAGGTTCTCCAATTCCATTTAAAGAAAACTTTTATAGATATGTTTGATTACCTTACTTATATAAAAGAAGATGTGGTATGATTGCAAATGAGACAACTCTCCACAAGAGACCAAAATGACACAGAAATTAACATCTATAGGTAACTAACGGCCTTCAAAAATGAGCAAAGCCCATACCACATAGTCAGCTATAAAAGGCCCCGAAATGACAATGTTAAACAATTCAAACGAGAAAACTAATGGCCTTATTTATTTAAATAAATGAACGAAAAACTAATATGTAACCCATAAACAAGCGACAACCACTGAATTACAGGCTCCTGACTTTGGACAGGCACATACATACATAATGTGGCGGGGTTAAACATGTTAGCGGGATCCCAACCCTCCCCTAACCTGGGACAGTGGTATAACAATACAACATAAGAACGATTCCTATAAAAATCAGTTGAAAAAGGCTTAACTCATCAGATGAACAAAAATACAAGTGGACGAGGCCGGGTACTTGTACATCCAAACAACAAAAAGACACTGAACAGATCTGAGAGTACTCGCAGTTAACTGACAGCTAGTTCAAAGCCACTAACAACTAATAAAAAAATCATGCAGCTAAGACTAAATTATCAATCCGTACACATCCAACATCCACTGGATTTAGTGTAAAGACGTCAGAAACAGTCGGAGAAAAACATGACCTTGTGCAATGCCAAGATACAGGTATCGACAGATTGTAGATCCTTGAATGTGTATATGTATATAACATACTAGTAATATTTAGTTTGCTTTTAATTTACTGATAACAAAATGCTTGAAAATTATGTATTAAGAAATGATGATTGTCTTGAGATGATAAGCTGTAATTTTTTTTAGCTCACCATCCCGAAGGGCCAATTGAGCATTTCTTATCACTTGGCGTCATGAAGGGACTGTAGCAGATCGCTTTATACAAAATATCTCATCCATATTTTTACCCATTTATTCTTAGATGACTGTTTAGCTAAACCTATCTTTTGTATTTCCAGCTGATGTCAAGGGAAGAAGAGATCCAAAGACTGAGTCTGAACACAGAGGAGATTCATAGGGAACTTGAACATAAAGAGGCCCAATAACAGAGGCTGGAGTCTGACTTCTCTATTGCTAAAGAAGAAAGAAGAAAGTCTGAAGATATAGTAAGATATAAAAAATATTAAAATTAACTTTAAACTTAAAACTTTATTGAAAATCACTTTACGCCCATATGGGCCAATGGATTAAAACATTATACATGTTATACGGTTTACATATAAACAATGGCAACAAACAATGCAGACACTTTGAACTATAATTCTTGTTTTTCTTGAAGTCAATATATATATAAGAGATCCAAATTATATCAAGGACTCCCTGCCCTCAGTCTTAGTGACTTTTAAAAAGGAGCCTAATTTGTAAGTGTCCTGTTTTGTTTCAGGATTGAAAATATGTTTTAATTTATCTTATCATTTTGAGTTATTATATTTATTTTCATTTAAAAATTCTTTTCTTAATTGTTCATTTATTTTACATTTAAAAAAGAAATGAAACTCATCATCTAGTACATCACAATGTTAACAATAACTTGTGTGTAACTGTATGGATCTCTCTGACATTGTACCACAAGGTTTCATATAACAATGGGAAGGCTTGGATTGAGTTTGGGATTAATTTCCCTGAACATGTAGGAATGAGGGACCAAAAAGAAGCATTTTTCTTGTTTACAGACAATAAGTGTATAAATGACTCTCTGAAATTATACCACAAGTTTGCATACTACACAAGGATGGGTTATGGGGGTTATGGCTCACAACATTTAGCCAATAGGGGCAAAAAAAGGGGAAAAACAAGGGTTTTTCTGGTTAAAGGACAATTTAGACAATGTAAAAGCAGTGTAAGGGAGGTTCTCCAATTCCATTTAAAGAAAACTTTTATAGATATGTTTGATTACCTTACTTATATAAAAGAAGATGTGGTATGATTGCAAATGAGACAACTCTCCACAAGAGACCAAAATGACACAGAAATTAACATCTTTAGGTAACTAACGGCCTTCAAAAATGAGCAAAGCCCATACCACATAGTCAGCTATAAAAGGCCCCGAAATGACAATGTTAAACAATTCAAACGAGAAAACTAATGGCCTTATTTATTTAAATAAATGAACGAAAAACTAATATGTAACCCATAAACAAGCGACAACCACTGAATTACAGGCTCCTGACTTGGGACAGGCACATACATACATAATGTGGCGGGGTTAAACATGTTAGCGGGATCCCAACCCTCCCCTAACCTGGAACAGTGGTATAACAATACAACATAAGAACGATTCCTATAAAAAATCAGTTGAAAAAGGCTTAACTCATCAGATGAACAAAAATACAAGTGGACGAGGCCGGGTACTTGTACATCCCAACAAAAAAAAAGACACTGAACCGATCTGAGAGTACTCGCAGTTAACTGACAGCTAGTTCAAAGCCACTAACTAATAAAAAAAATCATGCAGCTCAGACTAAATTATCAATCCGTACACATCCAACATCCACTGGATTTAGTGTAAAGACGTCATAAACAGTCGGAGAAATACATGACCTTGTGCAATGCCAAGATACAGGTATCGACAGATTGTAGATCCATGAATGTGTATATGTATATAACATACTAGTAATATTTAGTTTGCTTTTAATTTACTGATAACAAAATGCTTGAAAATTATGTATTAAGAAATGATGATTGTCTTGAGATGATAAGCTGTAATTTTTTTTAGCTCACCATCCCAAAGGGCCAATTGAGCATTTCTCATCACTTGGCGTCATGAAGGGACTGTAGCAGATCGCTTTATACAAAATGTCTCATCCATATTTTTACCCATTTATTCTTAAATGACTGTTTAGCTAAACCTATCTTTTGTATTTCCAGCTCATGTCAAGGGAAGAAGAAATCCAAAGACTGAGTCTGAACACAAGAGGAAATTCATAGGGAACTTGAACATAAAGAGGCCCAATTACAGAGGCTGGAGTCCGACTTCTCTATTGCTAAAGAAGAAAGTCTGAAGATATAGTAAGAATTAAAAAAATATTAAAATTAACTTTAAACTTAAAACTTTATTGAAAATCACTTTACGCCCATATGGGCCAATGGATTAAAACATTATACATGATATACAGTTTACATATAAACAATGACAATAAACAATGCAGACACTTTGAACTATAATTCTTGTCTTTCTTTAAGTCAATATATATATAAGAGATCCAAATTATATCAAGGACTCCCTGCCCTCAGTCTTAGTAACTTTTACAAAGGAGCCTAATTTGTAAGTGTCCTGTTTTGTTTCAGGATTGAAAATATGTTTTAATTGATCTATATCATTTTAAGTTATTATATTTATTTTCATTTAAAAATTCTTTTCTTAATTGTTCATTTATTTTACATTTAAAAAAGAAATGAAACTCATTATCTAGTACATCACAATGTTAACAATAACTTGTGTGTAACTGTATGGATCTCTCTGACATTGTACCACAAGGTTTCATATAACAATGGGAAGGCTTGGATTGAGTTTGGGATTAATTTCCCTGAACATGTAGGAATAAGGGACCAAAAAGAAGCATTTTTCTTGTTTACAGACAATAAGTGTATAAATGACTCTCTGAAATTATACCACAAGTTTGCATACTACACAAGGATGGGTTATGGGGGTTATGGCTCACAACATTTAGCCAATAGGGGCAAAAAAAGGGGAAAAACAAGGGTTTTTCTGGTTAAAGGACAATTTAGACAATGTAAAAGCAGTGTAAGGGAGGTTCTCCAATTCCATTTAAAGAAAACTTTTATAGATATGTTTGATTACCTTACTTATATAAAAGAAGATGTGGTATGATTGCAAATGAGACAACTCTCCACAAGAGACCAAAATGACACAGAAATTAACATCTTTAGGTAACTAACGGCCTTCAAAAATGAGCAAAGCCCATACCACATAGTCAGCTATAAAAGGCCCCGAAATGACAATGTTAAACAATTCAAACGAGAAAACTAATGGCCTTATTTATTTAAATAAATGAACGAAAAACTAATATGTAACCCATAAACAAGCGACAACCACTGAATTACAGGCTCCTGACTTGGGACAGGCACATACATACATAATGTGGCGGGGTTAAACATGTTAGCGGGATCCCAACCCTCCCCTAACCTGGAACAGTGGTATAACAATACAACATAAGAACGATTCCTATAAAAAATCAGTTGAAAAAGGCTTAACTCATCAGATGAACAAAAATACAAGTGGACGAGGCCGGGTACTTGTACATCCCAACAAAAAAAAAGACACTGAACCGATCTGAGAGTACTCGCAGTTAACTGACAGCTAGTTCAAAGCCACTAACTAATAAAAAAAATCATGCAGCTCAGACTAAATTATCAATCCGTACACATCCAACATCCACTGGATTTAGTGTAAAGACGTCATAAACAGTCGGAGAAATACATGACCTTGTGCAATGCCAAGATACAGGTATCGACAGATTGTAGATCCATGAATGTGTATATGTATATAACATACTAGTAATATTTAGTTTGCTTTTAATTTACTGATAACAAAATGCTTGAAAATTATGTATTAAGAAATGATGATTGTCTTGAGATGATAAGCTGTAATTTTTTTTAGCTCACCATCCCAAAGGGCCAATTGAGCATTTCTCATCACTTGGCGTCATGAAGGGACTGTAGCAGATCGCTTTATACAAAATGTCTCATCCATATTTTTACCCATTTATTCTTAAATGACTGTTTAGCTAAACCTATCTTTTGTATTTCCAGCTCATGTCAAGGGAAGAAGAAATCCAAAGACTGAGTCTGAACACAAGAGGAAATTCATAGGGAACTTGAACATAAAGAGGCCCAATTACAGAGGCTGGAGTCCGACTTCTCTATTGCTAAAGAAGAAAGTCTGAAGATATAGTAAGAATTAAAAAAATATTAAAATTAACTTTAAACTTAAAACTTTATTGAAAATCACTTTACGCCCATATGGGCCAATGGATTAAAACATTATACATGATATACAGTTTACATATAAACAATGACAATAAACAATGCAGACACTTTGAACTATAATTCTTGTCTTTCTTTAAGTCAATATATATATAAGAGATCCAAATTATATCAAGGACTCCCTGCCCTCAGTCTTAGTAACTTTTACAAAGGAGCCTAATTTGTAAGTGTCCTGTTTTGTTTCAGGATTGAAAATATGTTTTAATTGATCTATATCATTTTAAGTTATTATATTTATTTTCATTTAAAAATTCTTTTCTTAATTGTTCATTTATTTTACATTTAAAAAAGAAATGAAACTCATTATCTAGTACATCACAATGTTAACAATAACTTGTGTGTAACTGTATGGATCTCTCTGACATTGTACCACAAGGTTTCATATAACAATGGGAAGGCTTGGATTGAGTTTGGGATTAATTTCCCTGAACATGTAGGAATAAGGGACCAAAAAGAAGCATTTTTCTTGTTTACAGACAATAAGTGTATAAATGACTCTCTGAAATTATACCACAAGTTTGCATACTACACAAGGATGGGTTATGGGGGTTATGGCTCACAACATTTAGCCAATAGGGGCAAAAAAAGGGGGAAACAAGGGTTTTTTTCTGGTTAAAGGACAATTTAGACAATTTAAAAGCAGTGTAAGGGAGGTTCTCCAATTCCATTTAAAGAAAACTTTTATAGATATGTTTGATTACCTTACTTATATAAAAGAAGATGTGGTATGATTGCAAATGAGACAACTCTCCACAAGAGACCAAAATGACACAGAAATTAACATCTATAGGTAACTAACGGCCTTCAAAAATGAGCAAAGCCCATACCACATAGTCAGTTATAAAAGGCCCCGAAATGACAATGTTAAACAATTCAAACGAGAAAACTAATGGCCTTATTTATTTAAATAAATGAACGAAAAACTAATATGTAACCCATAAACAAGCGACAACCACTGAATTACAGGCTCCTGACTTTGGACAGGCACATACATACATAATGTGGCGGGGTTAAACATGTTAGCGGGATCCCAACCCTCCCCTAACTTGGGACAGTGGTATAACAATACAACATAAGAACGATTCCTATAAAAATCAGTTGAAAAAGGCTTAACTGATCAGATGAACAAAAATACAAGTGGACGAGGCCGGGTACTTGTACATCCCAACAACAAAAAGACACTGAACCGATCTGAGAGTACTCGCAGTTAACTGACAGCTAGTTCAAAGCCACTAACAACTAATAAAAAAATCATGCAGCTAAGACTAAATTATCAATCCGTACACATCCAACATCCACTGGATTTAGTGTAAAGACGTCATAAACAGTCGGAGAAAAACATGACCTTGTGCAATGCCAAGATACAGGTATCGACAGATTGTAGATCCATGAATGTGTATATGTATATAACATACTAGTAATATTTAGTTTGCTTTTAATTTACTGATAACAAAATGCTTGAAAATTATGTATTAAGAAATGATGATTGTCTTGAGATGATAAGCTGTAATTTTTTTTTAGCTCACCATCCCGAAGGGCTTATTGAGCATTTCTTATCATTTGGCGTCATGAAGGGACTGTAGCAGATCGCTTTATACAAAATATCTCATCCATATTTTTACCCATTTATTCTTAAATGACTGTTTAGCTAAACCTATCTTTTGTATTTCCAGCTGATGTCAAGGGAAGAAGAGATCTAAAGACTGAGTCTGAACACAGAGGAAATTCATAGGGAACTTGAACGTAAAGAGGCCCAATTACAGAGGCTGGAGTCTGACTTCTCTATTGCTAAATATATAGTAAGAATTAAAAAAAATAAAAATTAACTTTAAACTATAAACTTTATTGAAAATCACTTTTACGCCCATAATGGGACAATGGATTAAAACATTATACATGATATACAGTTTACATATAAACAATGACAATAAACAATGCAGATACTTTGAACTATAATTCTTGTCTTTCTTTAAATCAATATATATATATATATTAGAGATTCAAATTATATCAAGGACTCCCTGCCCTCAGTCTTAGTGACTTTTTTATAAAGGAGCCTAATTTGTAAGTGTCCTGTTTTGTTTCAGGATTGAAAATATGTTTTAATTTATCTATATCATTTTAAGTTATAATATTTATTTTCATTTAAAAATTCTTTTCTTAATTGTTCCTTTTTTTTACATTTAAAAAAGAAATGAAACTCAACATCTAGTACATCACAATGTTAACAATAACTTGTGTGTAACTGTATGGATCTCTCTGACATTGTACCACAAGGTTTCATATAACAATGGGAAGGCTTGGATTGAGTTTGGGATTAATTTCCCTGAACATGTAGGAATAAGGGGCCAAAAAGAAGCATTTTTGTCTCGCCTTGACTGAGTCAAAAAGCGAGACATAGGTATGCTGTTTCCGGCGTCGGCGGCGGCGACGGCGGCGTCAACAATGTATTAGTTTGTGATTAGGTCTAGTTTATGGTGAACCACAATTGGTAGGTCAATCATATTTAGTATGCAGTTGTATAAGCATTGGCACATCTTATTTCAATGGAGATAATATGGCCTTGCCCCTCAGTCATGGTCTATTGACTTCGAAAATTTTGCTTATTTTACATGTATTAGTTTGTGATTAGGTCAGTTTATGGGGAACCACAAGTGGTAGGTCAATGATATTTGGTATGCAGTTGTGTAAGCATCGGCATACCTCATTTCCATGGAGATAATTTAGCTCCGTCCCCTTAGTCATGGTCTATTGACTTTGAAACTTTTGCTTATTTTACATGTATTAGTTTGTGATTAAGGTCAGTTTATGGGGAACCACAAGTGGTAGATCAATGATATTTGGTATGTAGTTGTGTAAGCATCGGCATATCTCATTTCCATGAAAATAATTTGGCTCCGCCCCTAAGACATGGTCTATTGACTTTGAAAATTTTTCTGAGTTATCATGTTTTAGTTTGTGATTAGGTCAATTCAAGGGGAACCATTAGTGGTAGGCCAATGTTAATTGGTATTCAGTTGTATAAGCATTGGCACATCTCATTTCCATGGAGAATATTTGGCCTCACCCCTCAGTCACAGTCTAATGACTTTGAAACTTATCTTAGTTTACATGTATTAGTTTGTGATTAGATCAGTTTAAGATGAACTGCTAATGTTAAGTCAATGATATTTGGTATGCAAATTTATTGGCATTTGCAAGTATCGTTTCCATGGAGATTATATAGCCCCACCCCCTCTTATTGACTTTGAAACTTTTCTATAGTTTACTAGTTAATGTTTGTATTTAGATTTGGGAACAACTTATGATAAGTCAATGGTCATGATGGTATTTGGTATGCAGTTGTATAAGCATTGCCACATCTCATTTACATGGAGATTGTTTAGCCATGTAACTCAGTCATGGTTCATTGACTTTGAATATTTTCATAACTTGTGTAAGATGTTAAAGTAATAGCTGTTAATGGTGAACATGTTAAAGTTTTGGGTAAATTAGACATTCTAATTAAAATAGGAGATCGAAAATTCAAAACTGTAGTACATGTTTTACCACCATTACACCACTCTTTAATACTAGGTGTTGATTTTTTGAAAAACAACAAAGCAAAATTAAATTTTGACAACAATACTTTAGAAATTGTAGAAAATCACACAGTTACTACAATAAGTAAACTTAGTATAAGTGAAGGTTTAGTAAGAACTCTTAAGGCAGTAACAATACCAAAATTTTCTCAAACTTTAATTAGTGTCTCTGTTTCACATCAACAACCAGGTTCAACTGTACTTTTAGAGCCACTTCCAAATATAGAGCATCTAAACATAATAGCAGCAAAGTCATTGGTTACTGTTAAAAATGGTAAAGCATATATAAGTTTACTTAACCCAACTGACAAAAATGTAAGATTTTAGCGAGAGAAATTTATGTATTACTGAAAAATTATTACACAAGGGTTTTCGATATCATAAACTAATCAAAACATTTACTAAATTTTATCATCGGTATAAGGACATCATTCGTAAATACAACTCAACATGCAGACATCTTATACGTTCGAGTATTTCACATCCAAGCTTGTATGGTGATATTCTTTACAAAGCACAAAAATGTCAGTATTCACCTCAAAAGCTAACAAAACCTTTAAACAGACTTATTAAGAAGGGATATAGTTACGATACTGTTGTCAGGTCATTAAAGATTGCATATTTTAGCTTTAATATTGATTCACTTATAGGGTCTTTGCATCGGAATTAAACATATTTATTCTAAAACCAGTTGTTGGCATTACACGGGTTATGTTCTTCTCATATATTTTATGATGGTATAATACTAAACCCCTAACAGGAGGGATTGTGCCTGATGTTCATATGATGAAGACCTAATCTTTCAATCAGTTTAATTGAGGTCTGGAGGTGGCATGTCAGTAACTGCTAGTAGTCTGTTGTTATTTATGTATTGTCATTTTGTTTATGTTCTTTTGTTTCCTATTCTGACATCGGACTCGGACTTCTCTTAAACTCAGTTTTACTGTGCGTACTGTTGTGCGTTTGTTTTTTCTACATTGGCTAGAGGTATAGAGGGAGGGTTGAGATCTCAAAAAACATGTTTAACCCCGCCGCATTTTTGCGCCTGTCCCAAGTCAGGAGCCTCTGGCCTTTGTTAGTCTTGTATCATTTTTAATTTTAGTTTCTTGTGTATAATTTGGAGTTTAGTATGACGTCCATTATCACTGAACTAGTATACATATTTGTTTAGGGGCTAGCTGAAGGACGCCTCCGGGTGCGGGATTTTCTCGCTGCATTGAAGACCCATTGGTGGCCTTCGGCTGTTGTCTGCTCTATTGTCGGGTTGTTGTCTCTTTGACAAATTCCCCATTTCCATTCTCAATTTTAAGGTTAAGAGCACACAAGAAAATGCAAAAGTAGAAAAAGTCAATACTGAGCTCATACAGAACTTTGATGAAAGCTCTCCATCTGTTTCATCAGTAAACACACCAAGTAAAGTCTCAGAATCTGACCTAGAATTTGATTTAACACAATCTGACTTAACAGAAATAGAGAAAGCAAAGTTAAAATCATTTTTGAAAGAAAACAGAACAAGCTTTGCCACAAATTTAACAGAATTAGGTGAAACAGACGTATACAAACACAAAATTGTATCTGTCCCTGGTGCACGACCTGTAAAACAACATTTTTATAGAAAGTCGCCTCAAGTTAAAAGGGAAATGGAAAGCCAAATTCAAGATTTATTGAAACATAATATTATAGAGGAGTCTAATTCTGATTGGTTGTCACCAGTAGTAATGATTCCTAAGAAAAATACAGGTACATGGCGCCTAGCGATAGATTATCGCAAGGTCAACAAGGTCACAGTACCTATGAACTTTCCTTTACCCCATATTGAAAGTGTTTTTGACACATTAGGAGAAGCAAAACCTCTTTACCTTACAAATTTAGACCTTAAAAGTTCGTTTTGGCAAATTCCACTTGATGAAGAGACAAAACATAAAAGTGCATTTGTCACACAATCTGTTGCTTATGAATGGAATCGCCTTAGTTATGGCTTAATGAATGCAGCCACTTCTTTTCAATGTCTCATGACTCAAATATTTAGAGGTTTAAATTGGAAATTTTTGTTAGTCTACATAGATGACATCTTAATATTCAGCAATACTTTTGAAGAACATCTTGAACACCTTACTCAAGTTTTTGATAGGTTAAAACAGGCAAATTTACGTCTACAGCCAACAAAATGTAATTTTGCCGTTAAGCAAGTCAAATTTTTAGGCCACATCATTTCCAAAAATGGAGTTCAGGTTGACTTAGAAAAAACGAGTGCAGTTAGTGAGTTCCCTGTTCCAAAAACAGTTAAACAGGTCAGATTTTTTTAGGTATGGCTAACTACTACCGTCGTTTTATTAAAGGTCATTCAGATATTGTGTCTCCTTTGACAGCATTGCTGCGCAAAAATGCACCTTTTAACTGGACTCCTAAATGTCAACAAGCATTTGAAACAATGAAAAAGGCTTTACTTTCTTCACCAATTCTATCTTACCCAGATCCAAATAGGTCTTTTATTTTAACTTGTGATGCATATGATCAAGCAATAGGCTATGTTTTGGGACAGAAAGATGATCAAAATAGAGAGTATGTTGTCGCTTATGGTGGTAAAGCGCTGAGTGATGCTGAGAAAAAGTACTATACTTCTGAAAAAGAGTGTTTAGCCATAATTAGAGGCGTTGAATCCTACACTACAGAAGTCTAAAAGTCTGAAAAGACCAGTTTTTGTCTTAATTTGCATGAACTTTTACTCGACATTCTCCAAAAGTATGACTTGTGTCTTAATTTTTCTTGACAAATTCTCATTTATATTAAATTTGTATGAAATTTACTCGACATATTCTCGACATTCTGAATATGGTCTTAAAATTTCTTGACAAATTCTTGACATTTGAAAACTGTCTTGAAATTTCTCGACATATTCTCGACATTCATATTTTTTCTCAGTATGGCTTGACATATTCTGAACATTTTGAATCGTGTCTTAAATTTACTTGACAGTTCTGAGTTTTACAAATCATGACCAATATTCATGATATAACTTTAATCTTTATTTCTCTTTATATGATATACTGTTGTTTCAAGTTACACTTCTTTACAACAAAAATAAAAGTTGGGCATGTAAAATAATTAAAAATTTGGGTATATAAATATTTTTACAAATGCAAATATGGCTATGAAATCTAAAGTATAAAATAATTCAAATGTGGTTGTGTTGATATAAAACAATTTCAATGTGGGTTTTTAAATAATTACAAATTTTGATTCCTAAATCTTATAAATTAAATGATTCAAACCAATTATACTGTAGACATATTTCATTCTACATTCATAATATTCAATGTTGATATGGTAAATAATTATTATACAAAAATGTGGTTTATATAAATAGCAAATTATGATGATATACAAATCATTCATTTAACAGAAGAAAAATTTGTGTAATGTCATCTGTTGGAATATATCAAGTATTACACATGGACAGGATGTTCCCCATAAAATTAAGGTATTCCACACCCCAGAGTACACGCAACTGTCAAATAGAAGTTATAACTTTACCTGTAATCAGCCATACAACTTATCAGTTGACCGACCATGCCACTACAAAAGTTTGTTGATAGATGAAAATGAAAATCATCATTTTGATGAAAACAAATTGAATTGAAATGGATATTCCTCATCAAAATTATGAAGTTAATTATTTTAACATAAAAACAAATTGAATAATTCCCAAAGATTAAGAGAAAATTATTATCTACTCCAGGAATAATAAAAAAAATGTATTTATAATGGGTCCCATCAATGATTTCTATAGAAATGGTTCTCAAACAAACATGCATAATATAGATCTAAACATTTTTTTCTTTTCAGGAAGGAGTTTTTTTATTATTTATTAATATTTATTTTTGATAAAAAATTATAAAATTCAACACTCAAATTTGAATAAAAAATGTTTTTGGGTTGTTCTAAAAAATGAATAAGGTTTTTGAATCAAGATGGGAACAAATTCTTTGACCTAAACGAAAGCCCCACCCCCACCCCCACCCCCCCCCCCCCTCTTTTTTTAGCTACACAAACCCAAAAGATGAATTGTGGGGTCCAAAAGAGATACAAGACACCTATTTTAGTAAAGCAAATTTGACTGGCAGTTTTGCGAACGGCAAAAATCTAAATGCTGTTTGTCAATACCTTCTACTTATATTCCAAGTGAAAACAATTACTTAAATGTTTAATAAAAATAAATCAAAATTAAACTATATGGGGGATTATTCAGGGTATTACAACTTAGTTGCACCAAAAGGGTATCTTACTATATATACCAAATTAATCCTTGATTCTTCAAAGTTTAGTTAAGCCATAATAAAAAGGAGTATATAACAGCAATAGAATGTCATAAACAGTGCAGAATAAGTCTGTTCACATTTCAGGCGAAATTTATACTGTTGAGATAGTGTCAAGACATTTTTAAGACTGTCAAGAATGTGTTGAGACATATTCAGACATTATTTAGAATGTCAAGAATATGTCGAGACATATTCAGACATTAGTAAGAATGTCAAGAATATGTCAAGACAGATCGAGACAAATTTAAGACAGTCAAGAATTGGTCGAGACTAATCCAGACTCTTATCAGATGATACAGGAAGTGTCGAGAAATTTTAAGACAATGTTCATACTGTCAAGACACTTGTCAAGAAAAATCAAGAACCTTATTAGACAAATTCATACTATGTCAAGAATTTTTTTAAATTATTCAGACAAATTAAGAATGTCGAGTAAAAATTCATGCAAATTCAGACAAAAACTGGTCTTTTCAGACTTTTTGACTTTTGTAGTGCTACCGTCCTTATTTGGCTAACTCTCACTTCACTATAGTAACTGATCACAGAGCACTCACTTGGTTAAAAACTGCCAAATTATCAAGGAGACTAGAACGTTGGGCACTAAAGTTACAAGACTTAGACTATGATATCATTCATAGACCAGGCAAACGCAATGTAGTTGCAGACTGTTTAAGCCGTAGGCCATATGATAAGGCACCGGCTATACGATCTGTAACAAACGCTAGACAAGATTCTGAGCCAGATTCTGAATCTGACTGCCTACCAAATGGTTGGCAAACTTACACTACCTTTTACTATGATGATGAATCTCCTGAAAACTGTCCTATAATATCTGCCCTAGAAGCTGATCAACTTCCTGAAAACTTAGCTAATCCTATCTCTCTGTTTGAAAGACAAAAACAATGTCCTGATTTTTCTGATATCATTAAATATCTGCAAGATAGGGAACTTCCTGAGGATGAGAAACTCAGACGTGCAATTGTATCTGAAAGCCCGTATTACTCTATTTCTAATGGTATTTTTATATTATTTATATCAGAGAAGATGTAGGAAGTTACCTAAGGAACTAAGACAAATTAAACAGATAGCATTGCCAACTTGTCTTAGAGAAGAGGCTCTCCACTCATATCATGACTCCTTACTAGGCGGAGGCCGCTTAGGTGCTGATAAGGTCTATTCTTCTATGATGGAAAAATATTATTGGCCAAAAATGCATGCAAATGTAAATCAATACATAAAAACTTGCGATAGGTGTCAACGTGCCAAAAGAAATTACAACCCCAACAAACCACCTTTGTCTCCAATGCCTCATGTTGGTAGATTTCATCGTTGGCATGTTGATATACTAGGTCCTTTGTCAAAAACACCACAAGGTTTTGAACATGTCTTAGTAGTAGTTGATTCTTTCACTCGTTGGACAGAAGCTTTCCCTATGAAAACACAAACAGCAAAAGAGGTAGCAACCATATTATGCTCAGAAGTTTTTGCCCGTTTTGGCAGTCCTAAAATTTTATTTAGTGATAGAGGTCAATCGTTCATGACAAAGGTTATCAAAGCAATTTGTGAAGTTTTCTAGGTTAAACAACACCATTCAAGTTGATATCATGCAAATACAAATGGTACTGTTGAACGTCAAAATAGCACATTAGCAGCATGTTTAAGAGCATATTGTGATAAGGACCAGTCAAATTGGCCTACCCTTCTCCCTTTTATAATGATGGCATATAGAAAATCACCATCCTGCAATACAACAGGATATTCACCCTTCTATATGATGTTTGGAGAAGAAATGCGACTTCCTTTTGATGTAGCATTAGAACCAAAAGACAATTTATGTCAAGATGTCAAAGATTATATAGAAGGCTTTTTGGCAAATTTAAAAATTGCGCATGAAATTGCAAAACAAAAAGATGCGCAACAAAAAGAAAAAGATAAAGAAAGACATGACCTTAAATCAAATATTCCTGATTTTTCTGTTGGAGACCAAGTTTTGATTACTACAAATAAAGTCCCTAAAGGTCAGTCTCGCAAATTACATGACAAACATGCTGGTCCTTATCGCATTATGGAAAAAGGTCAAAACTTCACATACAAATTGAAAGAAATATCTAATAATAAAGAATTGAAATCATTGATAAATGCCACAAATCTTAGGCGCTACTATGACCCAAATATTCATCGCAAACGGTTTGAGGTACAACAACACCAAAACAATGCACCAGATCAAAATGCAAATGTAGCTCCTCAAGCACAAACACAAGTGCAAGAGGAACCTGAAAACACTGCAGATAATTCAGAACCTCTTGATGAACTGCCAAATGTTAACTTACAACCTGAAAATAATGTTAATCAAGAAAATGTTATAGAAAATCAAACAAATCAGCCTCGTATTGATAATCAAACATTTAATTTTCATCAAATTAAAAGAGGTAAATTTTGCAATGGTAAAAGGTTCATGAGAGTAGAATGGCTTGATAAGACACGCACATGGGAACCAGATACTAGTTTTGACCCTCCCATGTTAGAGGAAATAAATCTGAGATTTACCCAGAAAGGCAAAAGAAAGAAATCTTTCTTCAAAAGAGTAAAAAACTAGTTTTGCTCATAGTACATGTAGTATTCATGCGTTATTTAAGACAAGTTTTTTATCATTCAAATTAAGTTTAATGATTTGAGATTTTAGTTCATATCACTTTATATTGCACAAGTATGTAATCGTACAAGTTAGTACTCATCAATAAGTGAACTCATTAGTACTCATTATCTTAAAGTCCGTACTCAGTTCCAGTACTCAGTAAAATGTATTATCAGTTCCAAGTTACTTGACATCGAAGGATAGTCCCATTGACAGTATTATTCAATTCACTGCTAACTAGCTAGCCATGCCGGCAGACTTTTAGGTTTTATTTTTTTTTTGTAAGGTAGAAATTTGATGTGTTGAATTAAACCTAAACAGATTCTCTGTTGATCCATAGTGCTAGATTGTATGTAAGGCCTGCATACTTTCACCTTGATTTCATCACATCTAATTTTTCCCTTGTTTAATATATTTGTAGGTAAATTCGTGGCTAGTTGGCATGGGCTGATGTACTTTCTAATGGTGGTCCTGTGTTTTGTTCAAGTTGGTGCTGATTATACTGTAGAAAAAGACATAATCCAAATAATTAATTATGGGGTCATCTTTAAAGAAGAGGCAAACCTGTTTTAGCCAAAGAATCATGGCTTCATACATTTAAGGTTCAAATTCCCCATAACATTCATTTATCAGAAGAGTTACCTTTATGTCAGAGACAAACACATGTTCATGATTGTAATACATTTAACGCAATGTAAATTTTATAAGTTATTTACATAAAACTACAGAAATGCACTTATTAGATACAATTAAAGCCATTCATACTTTAATTCCTCACAGTACTATTTTGTCATCAAAACGAAATATTCGTTCATTTTTACCATTCATTGGCTCACTTGCTAAAGGTCTTTTTGGTACATCAACAATGAGTGATGTAAATTTACTTGCTAGACACATAAACGCACTCAATAAGAGAACTGAATTATTATCTGACGTTCTACACCAGCATGGTGACCACTTATCATCCTATATGTCAGTAATGGACAATAGGACAACCAATCTGATGTCTGGAATTCAAATCAATTCAAAAGAGATAGCCACATTGGCTCATTCAATGAACTTGTCATTAGTTACCTTACAGCAATCCATGTTTAATATTTTCCAAATACTCATTAACCTCACTAATACAGGCAATATATTACGAAGAAATTTGGACCAGTTCCAAGCCGCAGTGCAAAGCCTTGTCATGGGCAGAGTCTCACCACTATTATTGCTAAAACAAACCCTAACACATGCACTCCATAAGGTTCAAGGAATATCAACAAAATCGTATCCAGGATTCTATCTAACACAGTTACATCCTTCCTTCTACTATACTAACCGTAACTTTATGTTTATGCGTAACCACTCCATCCTATACCTAACACTCAGATTTCCAGTTTCATCACATTCACAACCTCTTCAGCTTTTTAAAGTAATTTCTCTACCTGTTCCAGTAAATAACACTCTGAAGCATGCAACTAAACTGCTTGATTTACCAGATTTTCTTGCTCTTACCCACCAGCATGATTATTATCTCCCCTTATCTTCTAACCAATTAACTAATTGCCAGCATGTAAGTGTTATCACATGCAGTTTCAATATTGCACTTGTCCCATCGCATGTTAAACAATGCACCATTGCACTATTCAACAATGACAAGAAGCAGGTCAAAAGCCTGTGCAATTTCAGATTTTTGGAAAATCATTTAACACATGACATCATTGAATTGAGCTCCACATCAGTATTGGTGTATCAAAGTGATAAGCTTGCTATTAATTGTCACAACAAGCAAAATCTCCTTCCAGGATGCAAAGATTGTGTTGTCAGTTTACCATGCAAGTGTTCACTTTCCACAAAATCATTATATTTATCACCAAGATTAGTCCAATGTTACAACAACACACAAGAAGTGTCAGTTCAATATCCTGTAAATTTAGCATTGTTGCAAGAATATTTTAGTGATAAGCAATTATCCTCCACATCATACAACAAGTCTCAAAAGTAAAATCTCAAGAAATACCATCATTTATATATAAGAAACTCACACCACCTACTACAAGTGCATCAGAACTAGAGACATTTTTTGCTTCTCAATTTTCTTGGCTACATGCCTCAGTGATTTTGAGTGTAATTGTATTCATATTTTTATCTGTACTGATTTGTTTTTTGTATCGATCAAGAAAGTCCAAATGCACCACCATTTACTTAGAGATTACATCAGGTGCTGACTGTGTTACAGTACCATTGCTTAGCTTATCTGTGTGTCCATCATATTACGACAGTATACCTTCTGTAGATGATATATCAATTTCATCCTTTCATCAGAGTAAATTATATGTTATTATTTCATCATTTGTTATTACAAACAAGCTTACCAACAAGACTGTGAACATTCCTACTACAATTGATCTTAATGTATTTAAAAGGCATAGAATTAACAAAATATTAGCTCAGACATTTGATTCTTATGTATTAGTTACACATCAAGGGTTTGCTTCAGTTTTGAATCCACCACGAACTATTCAAAAAGTGCAACAAGCTTCAAATCAAACTTCTGTTTCCTTATTTCCACATTTAGAATAATCAATTTTATTTTAAAAGCAAATTGTTCTTATGATTTCTTTTTAATTGTTCAACTATTAGATTTTAATAATGAATTTTAACATCTTAAATTAAACTGTATTTCTGCAGTAATTTTTGTCTAATATATTTCATTTCACCGAATAATTAGTTCTATTCCATAAGTAGTGCTGAATCCTCAACCTCTTGAATATTTTCCAAATTGTTTTAAGTGATAAGGTATTTTTTTAGACAACTTTTTTCAGAAATAGTTAGATGCATTTATTGTTTTGAATTAAAGACCTTGTAACTCAGGACCTGTGTTTATGATCAATTATTGAATATTTAGGTATGTATATATATTTTGTATGTTTACTTTTGTATGTATGGAACAATACACAGTTATCATGTATGTGTAATTGACTAACCCCTACTTTACTTAGTATTTTACAGGAATATGTCAAGATTTCGGGTCGAAATCAACTGAAGTAAGGGGGAGTTGTCATGGTATCATTTTGAACAGATTTTATTATTTTTGTGAAATTCTTAATTTCAGTAAAAATTGGAAAAGTTCTAAGTTTAAAGCAAATTATTTTAGTTAAACATTTTATTTCAATTCTGGACAGACATTTTAATAGCTTTAGTTTTGATTTTCACACAAACATATTTCCTTTTAGTAAGCCTTATTGTGTTGTATATAGATTACGTAAGAAGATATCGGACAATGGTCAGAATGTGTTGACAGATATGATTTTTAAAGTGAAGCCGACATGTAATAAGGTTTTTTTCGGATTGTTTCTATTGTTAATATCCGGCTCAAATAGGGTATAGAGTAAACATTGATAGCGGGATTACATAAGTAATTAAGATATTTTTTAGTCTTAAGCGTCACTTATGACCCTACCCATTTTCTGTCAATTAGACTAAAGTTGTCATGGTTTTTGATTAAATGTTAATTTTGATTGGACAAACCTGAAACAGTCCACAAATTCGAATCTAAAAAGTTATTTCCAAAAAGCGCCACTTTTACATGCGCTCTTTGGAAATAAAGACATAAAACTATTTCAAGTTTTATTGAATATTGTTTCAGGTAAGCAAAGTTAATTTTATTTTGTTAAATATAATCTTAAGCATTTTGTTTAAAGGTTTTCATAACCTAAAAGTAACTTCTGATAAAATTATTAATTTGCTAATGCTTTATTCTTTTTGAATAGAAATAGGTTTATTTTCCTTTTGTAAAATCTTCAGCACTTTCATAGTTATTTTATTTAATAAGAGTTTTCATCTTTTATTATCTTTATAAAGAAGTTAATTATCAAGATATTTTCTTTATGCTATAATTGTAAATAGTTGTAAATAATGTGTTTTTTAAAGAAAAGTTTTTGGTTCTGATCGGAAAATGGTATACTTATTTTATGTTTTTATAGTTATTTATAACATCCGCCTGTTTTGTCGCACTGACAAGAAATAAGAAATAATAATTCACCTTAAATTCACTATTGCATTGAAGTTATAATGTTTTCAATGGTAAGGTTTTATAATTCGAAAGCCTTTTAGGCATGATTTCTTGATGTGCAGTTTATTTGACATGTTATTGTCAGCAAACGCATGGTTTGTTATTTTTCTATAAATAGCACGTTATTGCGTAAACTTATTTTTAGCAAGTATACATGTAAGACATATTCTATAGCTAGTTCCCCACAACAAAGTATTATATATATTTCATTGCGTAACAAGATTTCATGATAGAAAAGTTTCTATTCTACAATTGCCCCCCCCCCCCTTTTTTTTATTGTGTAAAGAGTTATTACCCCTTAACAGATTAAAAAAGAGTTATTCCTCCTTAACAGATTAAAAAAAGAGTTATTCCCCCTTAACGGAGATATGGTTAGATAAGTAACCTCATTGTTTGAATTGGAGTTTCATAAGAAAGACGTTTATATTATTCCTTTATTTAATTCTCAGTGTTTAGAATAAAGTTTAACCAAATACCTTAAAAATGCTCTACCATGTTTATATTTGAATGTTTAGAATATTTATGCAAAAGAAATGAGATGTTGCTCATACATTAAGTATTGCGATACACATTATGTTCATGTTTCAGAATATTTATGAAATATTTAATTATGATAGGTCTATTGCATTATCTAATGGAATTATACTTGCATTATTATATTGATTTATACTTATGAATATTGTTTGTCATTTTATATTATAACTGCTATTATAATTAGACTTTTACATGCGCTCTTTGGAAATAAAGACATAAAACTATTTCAAGTTTTATTGAATATTGTTTCAGGCCTTGGCTCCAGACATCACAAGTCGTCAAGGTATAGATCCCATTGGTATAAGACCAATTCCAAGCAAACACACAGAAACTCTAATTCTGACAACTGGTTGGAGGACTGAAAGATCCCAAAGAATTAACGTATGTACTGGTTGAGATCAAAGAACATCAATATGCCTGCACCAAATAATGCTACCACTAATGCCACAGACAATGAACAACCGGAAGAGATAGTCAACACAGCCCCATTACCAACAGCCACAGCAGGTTCCTCATCTAACACTGTGAACACTGGGCCACACATAATACCACCACCACCAGGTTTTGCTAGTAACCATGGTCACAGATACCATGTGAATTTCGAGTCGTTTAGTGGTAGGGGCAATGCCACAGAATTCTGGGCCATGTTTATGGCATTTGTAACATTACAGGGCATGCCTGAGGTGTCAGCCATCTTGATTCTCCCGTTCCACCTGACAGGCATAGCCAGGGAATGGTTTAATGTCTTGGACAATAAGTATAAAGTATCGTTAACATCGATTAAAGACATCACAAGTCGTCAAGGTATAGATCCCATTGGTATAAGACCAATTCCAAGCAAATACACCGAAACTCTAATTCTGACAACTGGTTGGAGGACCGTAGATCCCAAAGATACAGAAACTCTAATTCTGAAAACAGGTTGGAGGACCGTAGATCCCAAAGATACAGAAACTCTAATTCTGAAAACAGGTTGGAGGACCGTAGATCCCAAAGATACAGAAACTCTAATTCTGAAAACTGGTTGGAGGACCGTAGATCCCAAAGATACAGAAACTCTAATTCTGACAACTGGTTGGAGGACCGTAGATCCCAAAGATACAGAAACTCTAATTCTGACAACTGGTTGGAGGACCGTAGATCCCAAAGATACAGAAACTCTAATTCTGAAAACAGGTTGGAGGACCGTAGATCCCAAAGATACAGAAACTCTAATTCTGAAAACAGGTTGGAGGACCGTAGATCCCAAAGATACAGAAACTCTAATTCTGAAAACTGGTTGGAGGACCGTAGATCCCAAAGATACAGAAACTCTAATTCTGACAACTGGTTGGAGGACCGTAGATCCCAAAGATACAGAAACTCTAATTCTGACAACTGGTTGGAGGACCGTAGATCCCAAAGATACAGAAACTCTAATTCTGACAACTGGTTGGAGGACCGTAGATCCCAAAGATACAGAAACTCTAATTCTGAAAACAGGTTGGAGGACCGTAGATCCCAAAGATACAGAAACTCTAATTCTGAAAACTGGTTGGAGGACCGTAGATCCCAAAGATACAGAAACTCTAATTCTGACAGTTATCTTAACTTTACAATCTTTATTTGTCGTCACAATGAAGAGCATGACTAATAGTATCCTTAAAAGTAGCTTCTAAAATAGAGTTGCCAACTGACCACCAGACATGAAAATTTAGTGGCCAAATCAAAATTTCAGAGGCCAGGAAATAATTTCAGGTTGTCTACATTTTTTCCAGCTAAACAACCCTTGTGAAATAAAAGTGTTCAAGTTTTTGTTCTGTGCTTTTATGCTGTCGAGTGTAGAAAATAGTTTGTATAAATCAACTGTAACATAAATTTTATATTCAACATTATATTAATTTTATTAAACAGGTGAGTTTAAGTTGTTCATTCTGATTCCTCAATTTCATCATCTGAGGGCCAGTGGGTGTAGTTCAGGTTCCGGATCCTTCCTTATCTCTGTGTTGAAGTTGAACCAGCAATATTTGGTAGTGTTTGGCAAAACCTACAAGTCTTTACTGCCTTATTTTGATCATATTGCAACCAAGAAAATTCTTTGATCCAACTATCCTGAAATTTACGTACGACCGTTTTTTTTTTCTTTTCCGTTTGGATTGATGGGACAGGTGGTGTGTCGGTTAACGTCGATTCAGTAGACTAAATTGATAGTACGGTGACCAGACTTGATATTTTCAGAATTTATTTGTCAAACATAATATATGGCTATATTATATATTATTGGATTCGTCAAAATAATTACTTTCCAAATATCAATATCGTCAAAAAGAAATGTGGTAACAGTTTTGCATAAAATTATGTCAAAGATCAAATAATATGTAAATTTTGTTCTTCTATATTTTTTTCTAAATGTAACGATAAATGTAGCAATTTATGTTAAATTTCAGATACAGACAGCTTTTAAAATCAATTAACAATGAGTTATCTCGAAAATGTAAAAATAAACTTTCAAATTGTCATTGATATGAATATTGACGGTTTTCAAACACTTGTTCCATAATCCAAGATCAACACATATTCTATTAATATTACAATAGTCACCTTGCCTGGTGACATTCAAACTCTGGAAAGAATGACAAATATTGTTTTTACTTGAAGTCTACTACCTTGAACGTGATATATAAAAACCAATAAATACCTCGCAAACAATTACAATAAAGCCAATACCATTAAAGAGGTCCAAACAACAGAATTCAGCAAGGACTTTATTCTGGTTCATCTGTCAATGAATATGATTGGGAATTTCATTTTTTATTCATATCACGGTGAAATATTTTTGTATCTGATCATAAAGCTTTGAAATTAACTTTCGTACACATACACGGGCTTCGTCTTTGTCGGAAGTCCCGAAAACCACTGAAATCATAGTGCGTATCATTCAAAGTCCTTTAGACTGATTTCTTACCTACTACTCCAAACAGAGAATAAGTTGTGTCTCATACGGTAAGAGCTTGTACAAAAGGCAACTGTTTACAAATAGTTTGGAATGGCAACTTCATAGTGAGGGGCCTAGTGGGTTATTTTCGTTCTTCGTGATCGGCGCATTTTCGCTATCGTGATCCGTTTTTTTACAGATTTTTTTTTTTATATTATCGTTATCCGTGATCATGGAAATTTATTGATGAGACCCCCCCCCCCCCCCCCCCCCCATCAGGTCCCTCCATAGTTGGTAAATAGGCAAATGAATTTTTTTCCAGTCCTATACACATGTTACACTGTTAATGTTCCCCGTCTGCACCCACAACTCGTTTGTATGTGTCATTTGTTTGTATAGTAATGTACACACAGAACAATCACATCCGTATCAGAGTCATTAACAATTGTGTCGGAAACGACTTTGACAATTTCATGATTTCTAAACGTTCCGGCTACGTAAAGCTGACAATCAGGTAGAATCAAAAGGGGGGGGGGGGTTGAAAAGAAATTAAGGTGAGTCTGTTTGTTTTCTTTTTCAGACAGGAATTGCAGTGAATAATACTAATGTCTTTTATAACTTGTCTTTGTGCGGGGTTCCTTTTCAGCAGACTTCAAAGAGGTTTTTTTGATGTCGTAGCGGAAAAAACACCTGTGCTGCTGTGTGCGCTAGAGTAAGCATTGATACATATTTTTATAATGGTCAGCTGATCGAATTTCTCTATAAAAACCAGGTTTAATCCACCATTTTCTACATAAGAAAATGTCTGTACCAAGTCAGGAATATAACAGTTCTTATCCATTCGTTTGATGTGTTGAACTTTTGATTTTGTCATATGGACATAAAAGTTTAATGTATACGTGTTTTACCTCAAATTATAGAATGGACCGAATGATTCAAAAAGCACAAAGCATCCTTAAAATTGAACAAGGAACATTTTTTATATAACCGTGCAGAGAGACAAAATCATGAAATTTTTTGGCCCCTGCGACAGTTTTTTTTTGGGGGGGGAATAAAAAAATTTGGCAATATGTTCATAACATTCATTAAGTGCCATTCTAAGTTCAAAAGCAGATTAGTGTATTTTCGATTTTAAACACAGAACCACGGTAACAGACGCATTTTAAAAAATATTATGATAGTGTCATGGAGTCATTTTAGACCTCATTTTATATTTTTGTGAAAATTTAGTTTTCAGCAAAAAGGAATAAGTTTAAGATATTTTATTTATCTAAAGTCCATTTCGAAGCTGCAGTATTGATTAAACGTATTTTTGTTTTATATTCGTTCATTATTGTTGAAGGAAATCATTTTTATATTTTCGATATATTTAAGATAAGAAGTTCAAATTTAACAGATATTTACTTTGGCATTTGTCACTTTAGATTTTCTCTTTGTTGGCATTATTTTTATCAATTTAAGATGTTTAGCGGGTGTCATCCTAGTTTGCCCACTTTTAATCACTTGCATATATAAACATAGGGGGAATTGTTGTTTTAACAGTTAAAGTCTGTTTCTTTAATTAAGGCATATTATTTACCTGTAATTCACCTGTAAAATCTTATAAAGAATACATATTTTTGATTGAAAATTGATTCAATAGTGAGACTTAAAAAGGGAAAATATTAAAACAAAAACTATGAATATAATTAGAAAAGAGATAAATTTTATAAGATTATTAATATTGAGATTTAAAAAGGACAAAATATTATAATAAAAACTATAAGTACATTAAAAAAGAGATACATGTCATACCAATTTTAAATGGGATTATAAAATAAAATAAAAAAAAAAAAATATTTATAAACTAACAAAGGACAATAATTGTGTTCAGATTTCTATCTATTCATCTTTATCTTAATTTATGAAAACAAATTTGTTTAGGTTAGAGTGAAATAAATATTTAAAATTTGAGAAAAAGGATATCTATAACTTTTTCATGCTAAATAAAATAAACGGGGAATGTGTTCATGAGACACAGATGATGCCTTTTTCTCAAGCTACAGGTTGTGACAAAATGACACATTGTGTATGGATTATACAGGAAAAAGCATCATTATGTGAGTAGAAGATAAACTTAATGATAGAATTGTAAAATAAAATACGAGAAGATAGCTTTTAGAAAATGCTTTCAGAATATCAAAAGAAAAGATAGTGTCACCATTCGTTTGTTCTTGCTAAAACATAAAATAGCAAAATTTCATGTAGATTCTTTTAGAAAATGTACTATTTCCAGAGTTACCACCCTTAATATGCCAATTTAAAAACTTTG